GGGGGGGACTTGCACAGTCACAATTAATTTTTATAATTATGTCTAGACATGCTTTGTCTTTTCCACTCATGTCTTTAAATTCTTCCTTGAGTGGACAGTGGCATTTTCCAGATGCAACAGATTCAATAAGAAGCAGATACGAGCATCCAGCTGTCTTCTATTAAAGCAGGCATGAAATACATTTGCAAACATGTAAAACAATGCTACTCTTCTCACTAAACGTTTTTTGTGTGGGGTTATATGTTGATTTTTCTATTAACATACTTTTTTTTTTTTGAGACAGAGTCTCACTTTGTCATCCTCGGTAGAGTGCTATGGCATCACAACTCACAGCAACCTCAAACTCTTGGGCTTAGGTGATTCTCTTGCCTCAGCCTCCCAAGTAGCTGGGACTACAGGCGCCCACTACAATGTCTGGCTATTTTTGGGTTCCAGTTGCCATTGTTTAGCAGGCCCAGGCCGGGCTCAAACCCACCACCTTGGGTGTATGTGGTTGGGGTACTCACTGAGCTATGGGCGCCAAGCCTAACATACTTCTCATTGCTATTTTAAATGAAGTCAATAACACACATATATATTTTTAAATAATCTCAGGTTTACTTTCCAATATAGTTACTATGTATAAATGTAGCCCACATTAAAGAAAAAAGAATGTTCTTTAGGAGCTTTAATTATTTTTAAGAGTGTTAAAAGGTCCTAACCTCAAAGAGCTTGAGAATGCTGCACAGAGCTGAGAAAAATTAAAGTCTGGCATTTGAGGAAAAATAACGTCAGACAATGTGGAGTACTCAGAAGACAGGCTATTCTTTCTGGAGAAGAATTTTTAGAAAAGTAGCAACAATTAAGCCAGGGGCAACTGGACTGGACAGCCATCGGTGGGCTAGCTGAATTTTAACACCACTTCATACAGCAGCTCATAAATCTAAAAAAATTGCAATACTGCCATCTAGCGTTCTATCGTGCAAATATTTTAATATTTATTTTTTTCATTCCATTTACAAAGATTGCTTCAGACCTATAAATGACTATAAAGACTGATTTTAACAGTATGTCCTGCATTTTTAAAGTTTATGTCACCAAACAT